TTTGTGTGACAAAAAAGCTGTTGTGAAATTACAAAATTATCTAATAAAAATAATTTGAAAATACTTTCATTAGCAATTAATTCATTTCTACGTTATACATCTTTATCAGAACATTTTCATTATGCAATTGCAAATTTTAATTTGAATCTATTATTTTATTAGTGGTATAAGTGCTGCATACATTCATATGATAATTAACATTTAAAGAGTGCCGTAGTTTGTTTCTCCATTGCTGTGACAAAACACTCTGATCACTACCAACTTGGGAAGGAAAGGGTTTATTTATCTTACATCTCCCAGGTCACAGTTCATCAGGGAGCCCAAGGTAGGAACTCAGGGCAGGAACCTGGAGGCAGGAGCTGGAGCACAGGCCATGGAGGAACGCTGCTTACTGGCTTGCTCCCCTGAACCCTGCTCAGCCTGCTTTCTTATGCAACACAGGCCCACCTGCCCAGGGGTGGCACCACCCACAGTGGGCTGGGCCCTCCCACATTGCTCATCAAGAAGATGCCCCTCAGACATGGCCACAGGCCAGTCCAATAGAGGCAATTCCCCAACTGAGGCTCCCTCAACCCAGGTGTGTCAAGTTGACACCAAAGCCATCCAGCACAAAGAGTATTTTATTGCTCATAAACTCAATTTTCCCCAGATTTCATCTCTATAGAATATAAAGTCCGTGAGGACCCAGATTCTTTTTTTAAAAAATTTTATGGGGCTGGAGAGATGGCTCATCAGTTTAAGAGCATTGACTGCTCTTGCAGAGATCCTAGGTTTAATTCCCAACACCCAGATGGTGCTGGAAATCATCTGTAACTTCAGTTCCAAGGGATCTGTGGCCTTCTGGCCTCCATGGGCATTGCACGATACAGGTGCACTTACATGCATACAGCCAATACACTCATGCACATAAAATAAAAATAATAAATAAAATTTTAAAAAGAAAAAAATTAAATTGTTTTATTACATTTTTTATTGTGTGTATATGCACACATACACATGTGCATGCCACAGGACATGTGTGAATGTCTGAGGTCAAATTTCCAGAGTTAGGTTCTCTTCCTCCACCATGTGAGTCCTGGAGCTCAAACTCAGATCATCAGGCTTGGGAGTAAGTGCCTTAACCCACTAGGCCACCTTGTCAATCCTGGTCACAGATTTTTGTTGCTTACTTTACATTTTTAATGCCCAGAAACAAAAATGAGTGAATGAGTTTGATATCTCTTCCATCCTTACAAGTAGAAATATTAGCTTTCACAGGTAGGAAAGCAGAGTATGAGTGCTGGGGATGTGGCCCAATGGTACAGCACTTGGTGAGCATAAGCAAGGGCCTGGGTTTGATCCCAAGTACCACAAAATTTAAAAACCCAAATACCTCTGAGTGTCAGAAGATGGCGAAATTACTTAAGATTCCATAGCTTTGAAGTGGAAGGAAGAGCATAAAAGTCAACCTCTTAGCTTTACATGGCTATATATTGAGAACACTGTGCCTCTGTGAATACCACATTACTTAGAAAATAAAATATTCGGCTGTACAAATCAATATCCTGAGGTTTAGAGAGAAAATAAAATTCATTTTATAATAAAACTATTTTATTAATCAAATCTGTCTTACTCATGATGATTATTTACTATGCAGCATACATCCCTTAAAGCATTATTTCTACTCAGCACTATAGTTGTATTTGCTAATAAAGGAATGAAGATTGTGAATCCAGGACCCAAACATATATGAGTACATAGTAAGATATTTACCCTACGTGATAAATGAGTGAAATAATTCACTTGCCTCCTTGGGATATTTTTATTATGGTGGTGAGGAGTGAACTCAAGTCTTTGCACATGTTAGGTAAGTGCTCTGTCACTGAGCTACATCCTCAGCCCTCACTGACCTCTTTGATGGTGACATAAATCCTTGGTAATAATTCCAGCTAACATTTATTAAAGACCTACTATTTTCTGATACTGTGTAAGAAGAGTTACATAGATTAATTCATTTAATCCTGACAATAGCCCATAAGGCAGAGCCTAGCTATAGTTTCATTTTATAAATAAGGACACTAAATCTGTTCAAGAGTAGCTAATGCAGGACCTGGTATGAATCTGAGCTACAGCACTGCCAGTCCTGAGTTCAAACCTTTTCAAGATGGTTTCTTAAGCCTTCTGGCTTTCCTCTCAACTCCATCTCCAGTGGATTTCAGACTATTTAAAGTTCCAAGTTTCCCTTTTCCAGGATTTATTGACTATACAACTAGCTCCAAATTGAGGCAGGGTGAGAGGGACGTCTCAGTCAGTAAAGTGCTTGGTGATCAATCATAAAGGACCTCAGTTAGGATCTCCAGCACCTTCATAAAAACCTTTGTATGATGGCAAATTGATAAGCTCCAGGTTCAGCAAGAGACCCTGTTGTGATGGTTTGAATGAGAATATCCCCCATAAGCTCCAAGTATTTGGACATTTTGTCCCCACTTGGTGGCACTATTTTGGGAGTTCTTAGAAGACGTGGCCATCAGGAGGAAACATATCACTGGGGGTGGACTTAGAGAGTTCTTAAGTCTTGCCAGATCTTGAGTTGCTCTCTTGCTTCCTGTGCCTGCTTGAAGACATGAGAGCTTAGCTTCTGCTCCTCCTTGAACCACCTTTGCTGCCATGCCTCCCCACCATGATGGACTCTTGCTCTTTGGAACTGGAGGCTAAATAAATTCGTCCTTCTATAAGTTGCTTTGGTCAGTGTTTCTATCACAGCAACAGGAAAGTGACTAATACAGTAATTGGTACCAGACAGTGGGGTCTTGAATGTGAAGAACATGACCATGTGGGGTTTTGGAAGAATATGGAAGACTTTGGAACTTTGGGCTAGAAAAGCTGTTGATTGCTGTAAGCAGAGCTTCACCAGACATTCTAGCAGATGCCTGGAAGAAAGTAGTGCTGAGAATAATGTAGTTCCAGAGGAAAATAAGGACTTAAGGAGCAACTGGGATATTTCAACAAAGAGTTTGACTGGAGTCTGCCCACCACCAAAAAAGCTTGCCTGAGGCTAAGTTGAAAAGCAATGAAGAGGAAAAGAAAAGAAAAGAAAAGAGAAATGAACTAATTTCTCTGATGGAAGTTTAGCATAGAAACATTGGCATGGCTATTAATGGTGAATATTATGCAGATCCAAAGAGCAAATGGGGCAGAAAGATATACAGATTGTACAATTTGGATTGAAAAAGAGCACTAGGAAGATAAATGTTGGAGTTGAGGCACGTGCTGGAGAGGATCCCTTTGATAAAGAGATTTAAGTGATTAAGGAGAGGCCTAGAGATTTGCACTTAAACAATGGAGAGAGTGCCTCCAGGGAAAGACCACACCCTGCTAAGCCTCCAACTTGTGAAAGGAAATGTTGTAGGGTCCACTGAAGAGAAAAGCTTCTAAAATGGATAAAGCAGGCTGGGGTCCATCCCAAACTTGGGGCCAAACATGACGGTGTCATTTACCTAGTGCTGGCTTTAGAGGCATGAAAAATGCAAGAGCAAAGGGATCATCAGTTCTTCATCCACGGTTTCAGAGAGCTGCTGAGGCCAGGCAGCATGCAGCAGGGGTTCTTCTGCATAGAGAAGGCCCTGATAGGCAATTTCATGAAACTGTGAAAGTGAAACCTGGTTGGTAATGGAGACTCAAAGAAGACTTTCATGATGCCAGAGCTGTGAGGCATCTGCCAGGAAGACCTGCATGTAGGGAGTGGTACCAGCCTGAGAGAGATGTATGTTGTACTCAGCAAAGTTGGAGGGGCTGAGCCATCTAAGCTTTTTGGAAGTAAAGTCCCAGAAGTTGGACATGGATCTACTGGATTTGGTATTTGTCCTGCTGGTTTTCAGTCTTGTTTTGGTCTGATATTTCCTCACTATGCCTCTGTTCCTCCCTTTTGGAATGGGAATGTGTATTTAGTTCCACTGTATGTTTAGAGTATGTAATTTGTCTTTTTATTTTACAGGGGCTTACAGTTAAGTGATTTCCCTGAATCTCAGAAGAGACTTTGGACTGTGGACTTTTGAGTAGTATTGAGACTGGAAAAGACTATGGAGACTTTTAAGGATAGACTAAATGCATTTTGAATTTTATATGGTCATGAGCCTATGGGGGCCAGGGAGTGGAATGTGATGGTTTAAATGAGAATGTCCCCATAGGCTCCAGGTATTTGGACACTTTGTCCCCAGTTGGTGTTGCTATTTTGGGAGGTCTTAGAGAGTGTGGCCACACTGGAGGAAACATGTCACTGGGGGAGGACTTAGAGAATTTAAGCCTTGC